GACATTTTTTCCTGTTCATTTGCAGATGCTTCCAGTGGTTTAGTGGTTGATAAATTTGCTTAGAAAGCAAAGGGTCAATAGTTTACTTCCACTTTGGAAACTCCAAACGGGTTGCGTCAGGAAGGACATCTGGTGTAAAACTGCCAAATCAAGCATGCCTATGATAAGGGAGCAGCTGAAACAACTTTTAGAGTTTATTGTGAAAAGACCCCAAAGATTTGGCTGATTTGTTTCAATTGTTAGTGCATTTTGTTTTTAGCTTGTTTTTTCCTAGCTAAAGTTAGCATCATATTTAATATTTGAATTACACATGCACTTTGTTACCAAATTAGCTACATGTTAGCATTAACACTGGGTAAATCCCAGGATCTACGCTTCCCTCCAAATATGCTCATGATGGAGTTAACATGCAGTCATTCCAGAAACCAAACTCAAGTATTTAAAAAATGGTAAAAAACAAATATGAGTGGCACCCGATTTCAATTTTATTTTTAAATGCTGACTTTCTCTAGTTTTGAACTGGCTTTTCACATTGGTAGTAAATGTTAGTAAAGTACGGAAGCGTAGAGCTGCCACCCAGGCAAAAGAAAAATACAAGTGTATCACGTTATAACGTGAAAAGTTTATTGTTCTAACAAGATACTTTTCCTGTTCGTACAATATACTATCATGTTTGTACAATATACTTTTCACGTTTGAACAACATAATATCACGTTATTACAATATACATAATTATCACGTTCGTACAATATAAATATTATATTGTACGAACGTGATAATTATGTATATTGTAATAACGTGATATTATGTTGTTCAAACGTGAAAAGTATATTGTACAAACATGATAGTATATTGTACAAACAGGAAAAGTATCTTGTTAGAACAATAAACTTTTCACGTTATAACGTGATACACTTGTATTTTTCTTTTGCCTGGGTGGCAGCTCTATGCTTCTGTAGTAAAGGACTTTGCAAATGTACAGTTCTTTTCACAATTTGTATCTTAAGTACATATAATTAACAGTATTTTCTATTTCAGAAAAAGCATGCTGACTGCCATTCATCTGTTTCTTTGTGACACTTGATTTGCCGCTTTCTACTGATCAAATGACACTTACAAAAAATGTCAAAATCTCTTACTTTCACTGTGCCTTCTGATTTTTTCACCCCAAACATTTGTCATGTAGTATTCTGTTTCAACAGTAGATGTCACCCTTGACTTCAGCATGGGGACAGACTTTTTTAGACACTTTCAAGCCAAGATGAAACTGCCACTGTGTTGTGCAACTCTTACTCGGGGAAAAAAAAGTCACACCCAAATGTGTGCAGAAATATTTATTGTAGCAAGCTCAACATCACCAAGAATATGACAATGACCACACGTGTTGTCGGGATCTATTATTGCCGAGTTCTGAAGGCTGTGAACTGATGGAGAATTTTAAATGGAGTCTATGAGCAACACTGCTCGTGTCTCCTATGAACCTTTTGGTCTGTAGACCATTAAAGAGAAGTAAGTCTGTCCTTCCACAGTATGAGCTAGGGGATGTCCCTACAGATTGCCTCACAAATTGCACACAGAGCCATCACATTGCCGTAAGAGTCTCAGATAGCAGACAAATCTTGGCTACGTTTGAGGGAGCCTGACTTACCCTAAGTTGGCATGGCCCTATCTTAAATGGACTGGAGAAGAAAAGCAACATTACACATCACTTTTTCCATTTAGTGTTGATGAAGAGCTTTATTTTATTTTTTATTTGTAGCTTTTGCTCGTTATTTTATGTATTATAAATCTTTTTAAAAACAAATACTGTGCAACAAGCTTCTAACCTGGAAGGCATACCCAAGCTGAATAGGTGGTCTTAGAGAAGAGCTGTTTATGAATCTCTACATGATGAAAAAAGTCTCATGAGGAGGAAATAAATTCCCTTATGTGACTCTAAGTAGAACTTCAATGCCCTCTTGTGGACTGTTTGACAAGACTTTTCTGCATACCTTAAGAAGCACAGCTACTACAGATCAAACTGATTTCTCTTAATCCTGCAATCTGCCAAAGTAAGAATGCATTTATGAACAGAGGATGATGTTTGTTTGTTATTTTCATTTGTTAGGGATTATGTGATATCAGGACAGCTTTATAATGCTGCTTCGTCAAGAAATCATCATATCAAGTTTCAGGTCAAACTCATAAATCTAATCTTGATCTGAAAACATATGAAGTGTCACATTATTATGTTGAACAGTATGAAATGTTCTCTAGTGGAAATAAACCAGCCTGGTTAGTAAATTTGCAATGCTAGAACAATTACGTTTTCTCTTTAGGTCAGTGCTGCAAAGGTTGCTACGCATAACCTGAGCTACATCAAGTTCTGCTCACTGGTTTCACTTTTGTTCATCCTGCTTCTGTCTGATCTGAACTGGTATGACAATCTCATTGCCTGGGATGCTGCTTGATGTCCCTGGCACGGGGGCCTCTACAGACAGGACTCCATCTGTAGACAGGGATGAACTGATCTGCTGCAAGTCAACCCCCTGTGGCAACCTTAATGAAATGAAAAGAAAGTTGGTAAGCAACTAACAGAACAGTGTATTTGTAACATATATATGTTTAACACATTTTGAGAGACTAATTAAACAGATTACAACCTATATATATATCAATGAACTCTATTATTGCTGCAGAATCATCTGTGTATGTGTTGATATTCTCACCTTCTGTAAGCTATACATACTGTTTAAAAGTATTGTGCTACCCCTCATTTCTTTATATTTTCCTTCCAAGGAATCTGATTTTCTTATAATTTCTGAAAGTGATCTTGAGCAATAGCTATCCAATAGTTTCTGAAGGTCTTTCAAAGTTTTTCCTTTGTTAAGCTGGTATATCTCAGCCTAGTGTGCAGTGTGTCCTTAAAAAAGTTGAGGAAATTGAAAAACTGGAGGACAAAAGTTTTCACTGCAGGTAACATGTATGTGTAACATTGCATGTGACAAATAAAGGCTTGATTGATTGATTAGTAAATCACTACAGCTATTTCCCAATTTCCAAGAAAAGATAAATAGAAATGACTCATAGTGTTCTCTGACTACCTACTTGTATTTACGAGTGAAGCACCTTGAAACCAGTCCATGCTCATCCTGTCTTTCTTCGTGGGTTCCTTGAAATGAAAAACAAGCAAACAAAAGTGCTTTTTACACTTTTCATCACGTATTTCATCATAAATCTCTCTTATGATCAATCAAAAACACTGACACTACCTGATATTTGTAAATAGCCCTCTTTGGTTGTGATTGTGATCTCTTCAGGCGAGAAGTGATTAACATCCAGATTAATCTTCCAGCTGTTTGGCCCTGTTTGGATCTCTGATACTCCACTTGTCAGTTGTCTCAATCCCTTCTGGTCTGTGGGTCGCATACCAATAAATGGGGGGAGAAGGGGACTTTGTGTGTACCCTGGCCATGAGAAAGATGCCAGTCTCTTCTTCGCCCAGTCTAGCCAGTCCAGATCACCGGGCTCCAGGAAGGGTGGAAGACCAAAATCCTGAGCAAAGATACGGCTCGGCTGTGTCCAGTTTGGAAAAGGATCCCATTCCACATCTCTGCGGAAAATTGGACGGGATAATATTTTATTTTCTTCACCCATATCCTAGAAAATCAGATCAATATGAAGGAACAGGTCTGCAAAGAGTATCACTCCACTGTGACAAATAAGTCTCGTCTGATCACCAAGATCCAAACAACAGAGCAGCTGTATTTTTATTGCCCAATAGAAAGTGTGCAGGAGGTCCAAGCAAAGGCGTTCTTTGGCATCTGCACGGTCTAGTCTCACACTTTAAATACCCGGGTGGGTCATTTTAACGCTTGCGTGGCAGTAAGAGTGATCTAAAGGATGAGAATGATTTATGAGATGAGCTGGGAGTTACTCCTCTGTTGCCCGGGACATGGAGGGGATAATGCTAATCATTTGTATTTATATCTCTGGAGTGTCTGTGGCAAGTTGTTGGTGAATGACTCTGGAAGCAAGGTTATTCAGCAGAGGCCTCTGCAGTCTTGTCACATACTGGTGCTCTTTGTCCAAAGAAACGACAGCCTTGGGTTGCGTGAGGGAACAGCACGTACATTCAGAGTAACACAGTAAACAACAGTGTTACTTTCTGAACCCAAGATTGACTTGAAAAGATGAGATCAAATCGAGAACAATAACGAGATAAACGTGTGGGACAAACTGTTGTTTACCACAAACTAAAGACGTGTTTACAGCCAGGACAAAGCGACAGACTGAGAGACTGACGCAGTGGAGTGGTTGTGAGGAATTTCACATGCACAGATGAATCTGGGCAACAAGGGTGATATGCTGAACAAATAATGAAGCGAGCTTGAGATTCATAAATCAACCAGGCATCTGAGGTGGAACTTTACTAATGAATTTATTAATGAGGAAATATCTGAAATCTTTTAAGAGCAAGAAGTCAAATTATCCCCAAAGGGCAGTTAAAGTGCATTTTAAGGACTGGAAAGTTGACATTACATTTATGGATCATCTGAGAATAAATACAGAAAGTTATTATTAGTACTCATATATAGGTATGAGTAAAACAATCAGGACTAAATATAATCATTCTTAGGCATACACCTGAGCTTTAAGATGCCACGTCTTGGATTTAGTTGCTCTTAACATGTTGTAATATTGTTTTCACCATACCAGTGTAAATGTACAGCACTGCAAAAGGCTCAGAAACTCACAGTAACAATGGGATGTTGGGTCTGAGTCATATGTGTGTGCCAAAAAACTGTGGTTAGTTTGATTCAAGAATAAGATTCACCTTCTCATATTATATTTTAATACAGTTTAAAAACAAACAAACAAAACACCACAATAGCCAACTGTATAAGAGCATTTATTAACATTTAAGAAATACACAACCAAGAAAGTGCAGCGTTTTCTTCTCTAAATACACAATAGTTCAAACATTTATATTAGTTTTTTGACATTGTCATAAGAGGAGTGTTTAGGCAGTGGCAAGGAGCAGTTTGCTGAAGTTTATCAGTTTATCTAATAAACTGGGTGCTGTATTTTACTGAATGACTTCATTAAAACAATACAAAACCCAAAAGAAAAGCAACACAGTTTGACTTTTCAACACAAAGGGAGGTTAAATGTGTTGCACTGTATGTAGATATTAACTGTGCAGAGGAACCTGTTCCCAGAGGAGCAGCTAATCAACAGACAAAGCAACTGTTGGAGCCCCGGGTCCAATGAGTTGGTCGCCCGAGGACTGACAAACTTTAAACTGTCCAAAGTTTGCAATGAAATACCTGGGAGTCAGAATCACGACAACAGCAGTCATCTTATTAGTGTAGACAGGAGGCTGGAAGAATATAGAAGCTAGCAGTTATAGTATTAACAGTTCACATGCAGCCGACTTGGTCTTGGACATTGTTAATAAATAGACATAGCCTCTTCCATTTCTAGATTAATGTTTTACCCATTACCTGTTTAGCTAGATTAATGTTTAATCTACATTTATAGGTGTGTCGTTGTGGATTCTCCCCTAAGCTCTAATGACTCTCCGTTTCTGCTGAGTGTTCATCTTTTCTGAAATTGAAAGGGATACAAAATAAAAGTTAACTCAACTTTCACTCAGCAACAGGTACTATAACATAATCCTGATAAAATGAGTGCATATCATCACTTTATTCATCCACTAATAAGATTAAGTAATATCTTACTGTACCTTTTACGTTTTCTGGAGTGGAGCACGATTACTGTTATGATCACAATTAGCGTCAGCGCTCCGATGACTGAACCAGCCACAATCCCTGCGGTATTACCTGAAGGCACAGATTTAAATGAGACTCTTTTCCCAATGAGTCAAGTTATCCAGGACAAATGGGAAAAAATGGGACTTGATTGTTAAGTGTGTAAAAATCAAGCAGGAATCACATGATTCAGAGTTTGATTTAGCTGAAAAACAAAGTAGAAAACATGATCTTTATATGGTTTTTTAAAAAAGGGTGCAAGTCTTATACGAGGGTATCATGTCCACAGTACAGATTTTGTATATTTGTGTGTTTGTTTTTTTGTCCTCTCCAGCACACATCAAGTGCAACGAGACTTCTTGGAAAGATCTAAAAAATAGCAACTGCATGGAAAATGATGCAACGGTGCATGAAAAGATGATCTTGAACACTAGACTGGCCAAAATTTCTTTCACTTTTCTACTTTGCTTTTTTGTATTGTTGTTGTTTTTACTTTTTTGTTCAGACAAAAGCATCTCAGCAACTATTCTTTAAATTGCTATTACAGACATGTGCAGGTCACAGATGAGAAATCCTGACTGTACCCTGACCTTTCATGTAAGAACATTAGCAGGCCAAATGCGTCATTATCAATAGAAAGGTCTACAGCCTGACAATAAATCCTAATGGCTTTGGTAAACCTTTGGCCCTTGAAAGTTTGTAGGTTAGAAAATAATCTCCTGACAGGCATTATATGAGTTCAGTGAAATCTCTTTTGTTACTAGAGTTATTGCTCGTCCTCAGCTTTTATTTTTCTTCTAAAAAAAATTCTATCTGCTGCTGTACAGATGAGGAGAATCACCCTCCCCTTTGATGGCTGATATGGTGGAAGTTCACTTCCAGATATTTAATTTTTGTGACCAGAAAAATTCAAACTGGTATCTCTAAGAGGATCATGATGTGATGCTTTTACTTTTTCTATGCAAAAAACTGGGCTGTTAATTTAGGTTTTCGGTTTAGTCCTCATTCCTTTGAGAGCGGGATGCATGCACAATCTTTCCCATTCTTTGATTCTGCCCTTTCTGTGAAGACTTCTGTTTTTCATCAAATTTAGGTCATTGCCTGCATATTATCTGATTGAACTGGGTGCTGATAAATGCACATCTTGAATGTCTAATCCTATGAGTAACAATTAAAAGCCTTCAATATTTCCTTGGGAAGTTACAGGGCAAGTGTGAGCACTGAAGCTGCGCTTTGTTTTGCTTATTCGCAAGGTTTATAGTACAAATCCAAACAAGAAATACCGGCAATATATTACAGTTGAAGAAGTAAGAAGATGCACGTCTCTTAACATCTCTTTGCACTGCATGTTTGTAACTACTAAATAAGTAAATAAGAAACAAAAAGGAGGCCCGTGGTTAAAAAAAAAAAAAAAAAAAAGGTGAGAGTGCTGCTACTTCTTCTGAGGTATTTTTCCAGTGACGCAATTCTTCTTTTTTTCTGATTCTGGGAAGTCTAAAAGAGAGACTGAATTTATAAATTAGCCATGTAATATGATTGATCAGATCCATCCTCGTGCTCAATCTTTGTTTTTCCAATTTCACACGCTTGTATGAAAGTCGTTTGATGATATTTTTGTGCATTTTACACTCCTGCTCAAAGACGGACACATTTGTCACCAATCATCTGTTGATTTCTGAAGATCAAAATCTTGCTATTTATTGATTTCATCATTTATTGATGTCATAATGTGTCCATACTGGAAGCCACGCAGCGTGTCTCCTCTCCAGACCACTGGCCGTCGGCCTGGCATCGTCGCACTGCTGATCCTTTGAGATTGTAGCCCTCATTGCAGGAAAGCCGCACCTTAGCTCCTTGTAAGTAGGTGGTTCCCTCCTTTTTCCCATTATCAGGTGGTGAAAGCCACCCACAGGATAATACTGCAAAGTATGACAATGTTATACCAAGTGGTACGTAATAATCAATGGAATATCTTTTGGATAATTTTTAAAGCTTTTTACCTGGTTTTAGATCCTCTACAAGAGAAACATGACTCTGGAAAGACATTCTCGTAGCTTTTCCTGTTCGTGGACTACGACCTACCAGGATGTCATACCTACAGTACACAAGCAAAGATCAGAAAATGAGATTTTATGTCTTTTAACAAGTTGTGCCATATACCATATTATTTCCCATAACGCTACTCAGTATTTCTCATGTATTCCTGTGTGTGGCAGAGAGTCAATGTGTAGTTTTCACACCCAGTGGAGGATAATATAATTGATGCACTGTACGTGTGACATCATCAGTGTGTTAGTAGACGAATTAAACTTTATGTGCAAAATTAGCACACATTTATTTAACCGTTTAACATTTACTGACATATCTGAAGCAGATGTGCTTCATAAAAACATTACACTTACATTCAGTTTGTTATTATAATAATAGAAAGCTAATCAAAGTTTTCACTCATACCTACAGAATTGAGAGCCTTCTCCGGAGCATATCGTTGCTGCCTGATTGGCGAGTGGATCATCTGGACTCTCAGGAACCAAAAACACTGGAATAAAACTGGTGTCATGTCTGGGGGCATGGTAATATGTTTCCAACAAGTATTCTGAATCATAGGTGAACAAGGCAGACTCGTTGGTTATTGCCCCTGTAAGACAAAAACAGAGCTGTACTTTCATTTCCCACCACAAATATCATAGAAAAACATGCTCTTAGTATTAAAGCAGACACAACCCCTGACAGAGAGCATTATCACAAAAAACTGATGGATTTAATTCATGTGACATCCTTTGAGGATTAAAAATGAAACCAACCACCACCTACCACAAAACTGCAGTTCCTTGGATGACCACTTGAGGTTAGTCTTTTTGCCTAATTTTGCTATCAAAGCAACAGGGGTAATTTCTTTTAAATAATGACATAAACGTTAGGGTTGGTGTCTAGTTGACTGCACTAACCAACGGTTAAAGAAGTCTGTGTTCCAGTTTCCTTGATTGAAATTTTAGAGTTTTATTTTTATATTACTTTGTCAGTATCTGTCTATGTGCGATGCACTTTGCTAACCAAGCTTTCTGCTGTTTTCATGAAAGCTAGCATTGCACTCTACACTCCTGCCTAACAAAAACTGACTGGGTCAATAAACTTCTCAGGAAAGTGTTTACAGCGGTCAGGACAGTAAGCTTCATCTCCACATTCTTCTACAGGGGCAGGAAGTATCGTTGTAACCACAGCTATTGCCCCCTTGTGGCAAGTTTAAAGCACTTCGACACGGATCACACTCATCAGACCTGGAAGATATGTTCAGGTTTTATGTTTATGTTTATTGTGATATCACAGTGGAAAGGTCTCGCTGTCACAGGCTGAGAGCATGGGTGCCACTTGGACAGATTCACCCGTTAACATGCATATCTTTGGGAGGAACTGGAGTACCCAGAGGAAACCCTGCACAGGACTCCATTCTGTGAGGCGACAATGCAAACCACTCTACCCCTGTACCAGTACTGTTCTGTCTTTCAACCACCTCAAATCTTAGATTTGTCAACTGTTACCCTTACTTCAGAAAAACTAAGTAACAATAGCAGTTTTCCCACAAATTAGTGATGTAAAGGTTTAGTGATTTCTTACAGCTGGCCCCAAAGCTGAACAGCTCCTCTGGATTGCTGGAGTTCTGCACAATACTCCCGTTGCTGAAAACAAGGTCATCTTTGGCATCACCATTCATCTTTCCCAAAAGTCCAAGAGTGGCGTCTTTAAAATCCTCTGGCAGGAGCACAGTGGTTGTCATGTTTCCCTCTCTCTGTCGGACTTCCACCCCGGCTCCAGAGGGAAACATCACAGTCACATTTGTAGACGTAGGAGAAAACAGAAATGCACCTACGAGAGAATAAAAGACAGTTTGTGCCATTAAAACAGTGCTTTATAGATTTCTGCAGTGTTGGAAGAAGTACTCAGCCTTTACTTATATAACATATAAGACAGCACCTGAAATAAGTATATGGCTGTTATCCCTTTTGAGGTGGTTGCCTTGAGCCTCTTAGATTTAAGTCACTCCTTGCAAACACCAACCTTTCAAAGTGAAATTCATACAGGAGTCACATGAGTTTTAAAGGACAGCTACTGAGCAAATATTGTGTTGGCGTTGCTGTTTCAATGCCCTGCGAGCCACTGCACATTTGCAGATCTCCACAATGGCTTGCCTCACAGTGGAGGACATTTGGGCTGGCTGTTGTCCTTCATATGTCAAGACGTTGCAGAAGAGGTCAGCACTGATGGGGAGCAGTTTCACTGTTCACAAACTTGTACATGTTGAAATAATAAGGAAGATGCTCCTGGTCAGGCTCTAGACCTCATGCTCCTTCTTAATAATACTCAGTGTCATAGCTGTACACCCAAGGCCTCAAGGCCTTCAACACAGAAGCTGATGTTTTTTCTCCACACAACTATGAATTTTTTGATTTCGCCTTGTGAAACCTGTGAATTCAAATCTTTACAGGAGAAAGTGTGAAAATGGGTTTTTAGCAAACTGATATTGAAAGTAAAATCAGCTGCACAATAGAAAACATAATGTTACAAGAGTACGAGAGCCCACAAGTACACTCACTTCCAAAGAAAATGTTCGGAGTGAATACAGTTTTTAATAAGGGTTCCAAATAAAGCCAATTTGTTTCATCATGAGGAATAAGATAAATCAGTTTCTCACCATTTAAGTCCATCCAGGTCTGCTCAGTAAATGAGAGTGTTTTCTGGTTGAGCAGCACTTCGAGGTCACTGTTACCACTGACCAGCCGTACCTCGATGATGTCAGAGGACGCTTCTCTCATAGCAACAGATGACAGCTTTGTGGCGTTGGTTGTTTCTAAGAGTGGTATAATCAGGTAAATAAACTGCTGTAATAGTTTTCTTTCTTCAGTGACAGCATTTGTGGAGCATTGTTCACAGTGGTAGTGTTAAAGTTCACTGGCTCACCCGTCACAGGCTGTGTTCTGCCTTGGATTGTCAGCTGTTTTTCCGCTGATGTCACCAAAGTGTATTCCCCTTTGCCGTTGAAGGAGTAGCTAGTGCTGTCAAATGTTATGAAGTGAGGGTCTCCAAAGACCACAGCTGACATTAAACACACAACAAAAATAAAGACACTAAAAACTAATCTTGTGAAACACGCTGTACTACCAGGGCTAACTCACCTGACTCGGGGGACTTGTAACGCCTGCAGTCACTGGAGGACCGGTGTTTGAAGTAGTAATGGCAGTTGTCAGACCAGAGGCAGCAGTAATAGAAGCTAAGGACATCGTATATCCAGTGAGACAGTCCAGGGATTCGAGGAGGTTTCTTGTAAGGAGGTGAACCCCAGTCATGCGCTCGGTCTGGAGTACTACCCCCAATCGAGTCTGCTGTCAGGACCTGAGCGCCGGTGCTGTCGTAACAGCACTGCTGTCCTGCTCCGTACTTGGGACTGTGGATAAATTTCCCAAACAGTGTCAGTAAGATCTGTTAAAGCCAAAGGCAAAAAAAACAATTTAAACAAGGCTCCACAGTCATTCTAGTGGGTAGCACAAGCTTATAACAAGAACATAATACTGCATGATACTGTTTTTAACATATCTGACTTTTTTTCTAGTGTTGGCCTTTTTTTACATGCGTAAATAAATAATAAGCTAAAAAGGAAATTCTGAGAATTTTCTAAATATGTATTTATAAATCCAAATGCAAGACTATGTTTCTCTAATACATACAGTATAATGACCACACAAAACGTTTTGTGTATTTTTAGGTGCAATCTTAAAGATGTAACCATGGAACAGAAATAAACTTTGCACTAATCTAATTAATGAGACAGGAGCATAGGAGCGACACAAACTGATCCAACGTTGAAAACTCAAAAACTCAACTCAAACAAACCAAGTGCAAGTTAGACAGTGAGTAGGAGTTTGTTTGCAATGTTTGATCAATACAGTAACCTCAAAAATAAGCTACTGTACAACAGAGGTGTGTGTGTGTGTTCATAAATAAAGATTTTGCCACAAAGACTAGACATAGGCTAGACTGGATATTATAGAAAATATTATATTCTCGGAATGCATGACACTGACTGTATCTGGCGAGGATGATATACATGTGTGTTTCATTACATTAACATAATTAGAATTACGAGTCCAGATATTTCTCATTTCCTTCTGACCATTAAACCACCTTTAAAGCTTTTAACAGTTTAAATGAAGAGTTCCTTCCACTGAGTCGTTACACAGCATTTGCCTTTTACACCACTGGTTTTGGCTTTGACATGAGTCCAACCACACTCTCATGTGTCTGCCAGATAGCATCATCCTTGACTGGCCAATAAAACCTACTGACCCCCTAACACACGTCGCTTTATCACTATCTTCAAAACCCTGGATAGGCCATCTGGGCAGTTAACCTCTTAAGCCCCAACGCCCCCTGATACGGGGGCAAAAAGCAGGAGATCAGGTAGGCTTGGGGCTTAAGAGGTTAAATACATTTATGTTTAGTTATTCAAAGACTTAATATTTGCAAGACAACATTTCTATAACCGACCTTGACTTTGTGTTTAAAGCACCACTGTAACTTTGGCGGCTGGGGAAAGAACTATTTTGCTAAAGTTTAAGGTAGCAACCGAGATCATCTTTGTTAGCTTTGACTCTTGGCATCCAGTTCAACAAGCTGAATTGTACGGAAGGAAGCACAGCAGATTTTTTGATTTGACACCATCACAGCCTCACATCTATGTGCTCACTTCGTCACAGGTTATCATAATAACACCAGAACAGTAGTGAATTTCCTTCATAGCCATTATTGCATTTCGTTCCACATCATTACACTTTGGTATTGCCCTAGTTTGTACATTTTAGTCTGATATTACTAAGCTAAAAAAACACAGTTACAAAGCTGCAAAAACTAAAAATATGAAGCAAAACAAAAAAAAAACAACAAAACTTAGACGTCCTATAAAAGCGTAGTTTCTGCAGCCTGCAGATGAGGGTGCTTTTGTGGTATGTGTTCAGTAATATATTGTGTATTTATTGAGTAGGACTATAGTTAGTCACTTAGCTAGTTAGTTATAGTTATGGGTTATGGGCTATGGTTCGTACCTACATCAAAACTTAACTGGTGTAATGCATGGTGTTTAACTGCAGCGTCCTGAAAGTAAGTGGATATATGGTAATGAAAGTACAAAGTGTACTACTGCTCACTATCAGCCCAAATATAAGAATAAACAAGTGAAAACATGAGCCCTATTTTGTTATATGATTTGCTTTAACTTAAAACAAATACTTTAAAATGAAAAAAAAAACTTTGTTCCGCACATATGCTACGTATTTTCTTAATTCGAATGCATATGTGGGGTTTAAAATACTTGAACTCTGGGTACCACTCTAACCAGAAGACTCACCTGGCTTGTATAGCCCTCACACAGTGAACACTCCCAGGATGGTAGGTGCACACACTCCCTTTCTCTATATCACACCCATAGTCAGTCTGAGGAGAAAGATGAAATGTCTGTGACCTGGCAGCCAAATGTGCAATTCACTGTGATCACGTGTTCACTGTAACTTTGAAAACATATCCCATGTCCGGCTTATTGTTGAAAAAATGGAGATGTTATGTTGCAGTTTGTGAATAACTTTCTATTGTGCAACCTGAAGTAGGAGATCAGCTTCCTGTTTGAAAATAGCAAGTGCTGTGGATGATGGGTAGAGGTGTTGTAACCCAGTCCAGAAGCTTAATTATTCCATGAACAATAAAACCATACAAATTTTTGATTATATTATAACATCCTTATTTGTGAGGCAATAACATCTGAAATGTTCAGCTTTCATGTTCTCATAATTAAGAGAGACCTTCATGAATTTAAACTGATAAGCAATGACCATTTACAAACGATAACAGCTACTGATAATCATCATAGACATGTGAAGTAATTATACACGTTTAGTTTCTGCATTAAAAATCTAAACTGCTGATGATCTCTCAGTCCCCTAAATCCCAAATATATTTTTTAGGCTTTTTTTAGTTCCAGCTTCTATGCATGAGGTTTTTTTTTCAGTGTCTCTCTTCATCTCTTTGTCCAGTGTTCAGTTCATTTGTGTTCAGTGTTTCTATTTATTCCCATGTTTTACTTTGTTTCCCATGCATTGTCTCTAGTTTTACTTCCTGCCTGTTATTTACCTTAACTGTGTTTTGCTGTGTTTAGTTTCCCTCCCGTTTCCACTTAGCTCGTTACCTTGTGTGTATTTATAGCCTCAGTTTGACTGTGTTCTTTGTTTTGTCTGTTAGGTTCTCATGCGTTCTCCATTGTGCTTCCTTTTTACTGTCTGTAGTTGTTCCCTTCTTCCTTAGCAGCTGGACTTAAAAAGTACAGTTTTTGCATTGCTGTTACAAATGTGTGCAACCAAGTTTTTATTTTCTGCTCCTCTCACTTACATGAAACCTGCCTGTGTCTGCTCTCGCTTGAGCCAGCGTGCAGGGGCAGTCTATGATCTCACTGAGGAAGTTGGGCAGCTGATTTTCCAGCTCGTCCCATGCCAGACATTTCTCCAGGGCCCAGCCTGCTGAGTCCTTCCTGAAATTCTCTTCCAGATGCCATGCCAGAGCGTGATCCTCGGTCCACGCTGCCTGGACATTCCTGAGCATAACCAACAGAACTTTTTGTATACCTCAATTGTAAAAGAGATATTACATGTAGAAATTAAATTTTTAGACTTAAATGTTTTTCAGGCTTCAACTTGTAGGATTTAGGGCATTCTTTTGGCAGAGGTGAAATTTATATCCATGTATAATTTCTTTTGTGTATAATCAAACAAAATATGTGTATTCATTACTTTAGAAATATCAGAAAGCACACACCAAAGACTAGAGGCTTTTTTACATTTAGAAACAGAGGGTGAAAGGAACCTATCCACATACGCCACACAGTGGAATACTAAATGCTAATAAATATTGATCGTTGGACGATGAAAATCCTTATTCACTAAAACAGTCGCCTATATACCACAGAGAGTGTTTGCACGTACCACATGCCGTCAGGATGGCTGCTGGAGCTGACGCGCACAGAGCCGAGCTCCCAAGACGAAAAGCTGTTCTCTGCTGGTTTGGGCAAAAAGCTGAAGGAGCCATTGTTAGGATGATCCTTTGCAAGAGAGTATAAATACTGCCATTCACCCAGCCAGTACTCTGTATAGGGCTCTCCTACAGAGAAACACTGTGGTTAAAATCACGTATTTCTCCAGTCAACAAACTCATGTGAGCTATAAAGTGTATATAGAGAATTTCACCAACCTGTCTCCCTGTATCCCCAAAGCTCTATATTGACCTTTTCTGCTCTAACTAAAGAGGTATTCCACATCATCTCAAGAGTGCCTCCAACATTAGGTGTGCCATAGTACTGCCATTTTGTTGAGTTGTCGAGAATCGCCTTGAACTTAGAATCTAGCTTACCGGTATGAACTGCAACAGCACAAAAAATCATGGTTAATGTGATCTCCATATCAAATGGAAAATGATGGGTTCTAATAACACCCATAAGAGTGTCTAGCGGGTATTATACCTGAAAGCCAAGTTCCGGCTCTAGTGAATGTAGTGCCATTGTCTGATGAAATCTCAAAAGGAATCCATCCTGTTTCAGATAACAGTGGGGAGATACAATGGCCTGTCCCTCCGTCATCCACATATCCCACCGTATTAATGTTGCCATTGAACCTGCCATAATAAAAGAATGATTAGCAGGGTTCTGATCTGTATTTAAACTCTTTAATGTTAACATAAATACCACAGTTGTCCATGAAAGTCCATTGGATTCGGTTATTTTACATGAATAAAATGTTAGCTCAGTGTCCACTTATAAGCTCTACAGAACTACAGATGTCTTACCTGCATTCAATCTCTGAAGCCGTTTCGAAACTTGCATCAAGCATAATAAAATCTGTGCCGCCGAAAACAGACCCAGAATATGGAGATATATCCACGCAGTACTCTTTATAGTCTGCGCAACAGTTCGCTAGAGATGTGCATGTAGTGTGGCATGAACAGGAGTCCAAGTTTTTCCCACAGTTCTTTTCACATGTTTGTCCTGTTCAAAATAAATGACAGAAGCTCAGGTGTGGAGTCTTGTGTGAAAGAAAAGACAAAATATTCCACTCTAACTGGTGGATTAAAGTGTTGATTCAGCTGATTTGGCTCATTATTGAACATTATGATGGATTCACGAAATATTTTAATCAGTTTTATATTATTTTGTTATAGTAAAGTTGTATCATTTAAAATATATAGGCTTTTTTGTGAGAACTGTTGTTGCAAATTTACTACTCACTACATCATGATTGAAAACCAGAGATCGCACATTTCCTGAGGATGTTGTTATAAATATATCATACAGTGCACTTACCTGATGTGCTGGAGATGCATGAAAACAGAAGGGCAACTATTACAGCTGTGAACCTTCCCATCATGACAGAGCCAAACTGTCAGCCAAGATTTCGACTACACACTCCTGGCTGCTGTTCTACTTTTGTCCCACATATATATATGCTCAGCATTTTGCTAAACCTTGGACCTTTGATAATCTGCGTGTACAAGCATCTGTTTAATCATCAACAACTGGATAACATTTAAGGCTTAACCTTCACGTGCCTCCTTTCAACGATGTCTCGTGTCACACTAATCACACTTGAAAAGATTTATAGTCACATTTAGCTAAAGATACAATGCGTCTAGAGATATGGGGATAAAAAAAGAACAAATATTAACCATCTTCAATAAAACACAATAGAGTATTTTAGTTAGTGGTTCTCTAGTGCAGGCCTCTAGTGGTGGGGCAAAGTGCCTCTGCAAGAGGGTGTGAAATAAAGTAAAATAAATAACTGATTGAGGGAGAATAAACAAAGAGTTTGCTAATGGTATCTTGCTATTTATTTCATATTTACACGTTTACAAATGATTGATACAAACATTGGGTTTGGGGGCATGAACCCACTGAACCCCATTAAGATCCTGTATCACAGCCTGCAATTAAACTAACTTACTAACTAACTAAAACAGTTTCATGCATTCTGATGTGCCAGAATCTTGAACCACAGTTCACAGACAGCCAGTTTTACAGCGGGCCCTCGTTTATCGCGAGAGTTACGTTCTAAAAAAATAACCCGCGATAGGTGAAATCCGCGAAGTAGCCAACTTTATTCTTTTTACAATTATTATAGATGTTTTAAGGCTGTAAAACCCCTCACTACACACTTTGTGCACTTTTCTCAGACAGACATGAACATTTTCACGCTTTTCTCTCTCGTTTAAACACTCTCAAAGTTCAAACCTTTGTAGAAAAATAAGTCCAGTATTATAGAATGAAACCAAAGACACCCGCAGGCGCCTTTGACGGTGCAAAATGTTTCATCGACATTGTTGTGTTTGTTGGGGAGAAAACGATCAAAGATTTATGTAAATTTGACAAGCTGAACGCATTCTGTACTGTACAGGAGACGCGGCACGAGATTGATTGACAGTGGTCTACAGCCAATCAGGACGCAGAACACAATGCGCTGTAAAATAAGAAAAGAAAAGGAAAGAAAAAGCATGAAAAATTGCGCACCAAATATCCGCGAAACAGCGAGGCCGCGAAAGGTGAACCGCGCTATAGCGAGGGACCACTATAAACGCAGTAGCTGTAAAACAGCTGTAAGGTCATGAGTCTTCCAGTAGAGGGAGCTCCGGCCTTTGGAGTTATCACACTGACGCACATTAATGACCAGGAAGTCAAGCTGGTCCAGTGGCCTCCTAGACTTCTTCAGTCTGCGTGATGTTATCATTATGTTGATAACATATCTAAGAAAAACAGGTTAGAGAGTTAGAGAGTGGCTTAATTCTTATCTGAGACTGTATTGACTGAGTTAGTGTGCTGTAAATGTACTTCAGAACTGCGTAATAGCAGCATGTACTGTAAAGGTATTTTTTGATGTGTTCTCCTCCACATCAAAAAATACTACATAAACATAATCTGCACAATTCATTGGAGTTTCCTCTGCTAGACTAAACCATAATCTGACAATATTGCCACAACAAGGATGTTTTAATATAAAGGTACAACATGACTGAGGTATTAAAAATGTTACAGTCATGGCTTTGCACACATATATTTCTTTACTGTTATCAAGTAATTCTATGAATATTTTGTATATATAATACAGTGTACATACATGAATCTGTTTGTTTTACAAGTCCAAATATCATGAACACGTAGAGCTGCTGACATTGTAAGTAAGAACGTTCTACAGCTAAGTTATTGGCGGCATTTGGGTAATAACAGAATATACTTCATTGTATAACATTTTAATGAAGATGCAAAAGTATAAAGCTGCCTTTAATAATGTAAATAGCCACTGAGCAGGATTACAGGGTAAGCATGGCTGTTGCAACTCTGAGGCTTAAGGAGCACCATTAATCCCACAGCACTGGCATCTTCATCTTGACTTGGTTTTTGTTGACTCCTAAAAACACAAAGAGCTCAGTCAGTTGCTCGTGTGTTCAGTAATAAGTTGTCGTTGTCTGAATTAGAGACTCACCACCATCAGATGGCCGTTCTTTGCCCTGTAGACCATCGACTCCTGGCCACTCTTGAAGTCGACAAACCCCTCTCTGCCCGGCTGAATGTCAAACCGCACACTGCATTTAAAATATATATATATAATTATTTATGATTATTTATGATTATTTATGATTTTTACCACTTTCACATTTCAAATTCAAATATTGCCACACACGATGCAGACTCTGTACCTGCCCTGCACCACATGGATGCAGTTCTGCTTGTTAGCAATAACATTCAGCTTAGTCAAGGCTTCAAACAGGAAGTCACACTGCAGAACCAGATCACCCTGAAAGGACAAATCAGTGCTCTGTTAAATGTTGTGACTTTTCCTCTGGAATCTAAATGGCAGACATGAACTGCTTTAATTTATGGTCTCTCCAACAGTGTCCTTAGACATATTTGACGTACGCTATATGGACCGGGCCACACCTTTTAATCTTTGAATTCAGGTGTTTTCAGTTCCTTTACCACAGTCAGCTTTTACAAACATTTGTGAAATAACAGGTTGTTATAAAGAGCTCACTGAATTCAAGTGTGACACTTGTGTGATAATAGGACCCAATCATTGTAACAAGTCAGGTAGTGAAATTTCTTTCTTCCTAGATATCCCAAAATCAGCTTTATTAAGTATTTAAACAAAAGTGGAAGCGTTTAGGAAATATGACTGTTTGTTTTTGTCACTGAAAAGTCAAAATTTCAGATTGTTGTTTTAAGATTTTGACTTACCAATTCAAATTTAGGCTGAGTGTTGGGCTGAGAATTACTAACTCAAACTACTGAGAAAATTTTTTTAAACTGACCCCAAAAAACAGACAAAAACCATAAAAATTTGGGTTTCTTACATTAAAATTATGAGATAGTAATACAAAATTATGACTTACAGATAGGAAAAATGTTTTTTGAGTCAAAGAAAAAAAAATTCAGATGAAGATGAAGCTTCCATAAGGATCAACAGTGACTCATCCATGACAGACTGTATTAATAATAATGGATTGGATTTATATAGCGCTTTTCAA